GTAAGTAAACGATCGTCTTTTGGCTTCGAGGCAATGGAGGAGGAAATGGGAGAGGGCTTGGCTCTGATAATGGAATGATAACGGTTTAACGGCCAACGAAATGTAGGTAAGATAGGTTAATATTATATTTTATTTTTCCTCCTCTGTGCCCTCGTGAATTCCAATTGTTTTCTTTGAATGGGAGGATTAAAAGGAAAAAAAGAAGAAAAGTATGTCCGTGCCACAGAGTTCGACAGTGGCTTCCTGTCGTGAACTCGTGCCGTGTCAGAAGTGCAGGTGTCATGCTGTCACCGGGTCAGAACTCGTACCGGAATGACCCACACTTCAGAACCCACAGCCATCGCACTGAAATGGGAATTCTTACCATGCTCATTGATGTATGTCCGTCCATTTATCTGTCAGTCAGTCAGTCAATCTCGTTGTTTATCTATCTGTCTGTCTGTGTCAGTTTGTTTGTATATCCATCTATCTGCATGCGTGTGTATGTGTGTGTGTGTGTGTGTGTGTGTGTGTGTGTGTGTGTGTGTGTGTGTGTGTGTGTGTGTGTGTGTGTCCATATACGTGCATACATCTGTATCTAAATTTAATCGCAGTATCGTAAATACTGTATTGTTTTCAAAGGAGATTCCAACGCTATGCATAAAGTAATCTTTGCACAACATCCAAAGACGAGGACTTTTATTGGAATGAAATCAAATGTTTATTTGTCATTTGTTTACTTGTCCCACCGAGAAACCCCAAGCGATAAAAGGCCTGATTGCACCACCACCATAACCCACGTGTATGGTGAGGGTGGAGCGAGCAAGTGTTGTCAGCATTCGAAAGCGCCTACGTGTTCGTACAAGCCTTGCCTCTGTTTTTGGAAAAGAATCTTATTTTTGAAGAAGCGCACCATCGTAAAGCGAGTAACGGGAGATTTCACAAGGTCTTTCGGTTAGACTTCTCCAAGAACAGACCCTGCTCCGCAAGCAAATCTCCCTGAACTCGGCAATGGCAACACTGGGGCGAAATTGGGGTTAGTGGGGTGGGATACCTGCTAGCCGGCCTTGTCCCTTTCCTTGGCCCGTGACTTAGGCTTCGTCTTCGTGTCCCCCTGAGGAAATGTTGCGTTTGCGTTCGGGGGTTGAATCGATGAGCATTTTTGACGGCTGTAGAGCGTGCGTTGGGCGGGGAAAGCGAGCGTGGCCTACAAAGAGGGCAGAGAGACCCGGTCGACCTGTGCGAGGACCGGTTTCACTTTTTCAAGGAAGCCTCCTCGGTTGTCCCGTTACACGACTTTTACTCCGCGCTGCCAGATACCAAACATACCCATTTCCGACGTACCCAACTTCTCCCAAAGGACGGGCGGGGATGCAGCAGAAGCATGCACAACCTTCCCTTGGATTCCTTGCTGAAAATTACATATCTCCAAAGATTTTTCGACCCCCAGAATATCGGATATGCCTCAGCACATCGGGACAGGGAGCGGCATCTTTATTACAGCGCGGGAGAAAGTTGTTGCCTTCGGACTCGTGATAGAAAGTTCGAGATGGCGCGATGATGGCGAGAGAACAGAGCGGGATATGTACACATACATATATTTGGGAATCGCCTTCGTCAGTATGCATGAAACGACCGCATGACTGGTTCCTTTCTCCTTCGCCATGTCATTTTTCTTTGACTTATGGTTTATATTTTGGGTATTTTGGGTAGATGCGCATTTGTTTTGGTTCGCAAGCTGAGATAATAAACACACGCAAAAATATGCGAATGGATCACGAGAATTTTGCGTCACAAACGGTTGGGTCGCGATCAACATGTCACGGTTGATGGCGGGGGGGGGGGGGTGTTGCTGCTAATAGTGCGTGGCGGAGGGAGAGAGAGGGAAGAGAGGAAAGAGGGAAGGAGGAGGAGGGGGAGGGAGAAGGAGGAGGAGGAGGGGAGGAAAAGGAGGAGGAGGAGAAGGGAAGGAAAGGGAGGAAGAGGGAGAGAAAAAAGGAGGAGAGAAGGAAAGGAGGAGAAGAAGGAGAGGGAGAAGGAGAGGAGGAGAAGAGAAAGAGAGGGAGAGAAGGAGGAAGAAGAGGGGGTAAAGGTGAAAGTAGGAAAGAGGGATTGAGGGAAGGGCAGGGAAAGAGCAGGGGGAAAGGAAGGAGATGCTGCTGCTGATACACATACACACCACACACCACACACACACACACACACACACACACACACACACACACACACACACACACACACACACACACACACACACACACACACACACACACACACACACTCACTCTCACTCACTCACTCACTCACTCACACACACACACACACACACACACACACACACACACACACACACACACACACACACACACACACACACACACACACACAGAAACAGAACACACTCACACATGCTAAGTTATGTATGCATGTATACTTTCATTTTAGCGAATGGATAAGAGAGAGCAAGGGTTTCTCTTGTCATTATAGTAATATACTTTATTTTGAATTTCGAACCAAAGCGCGTAACGAACCCATTCGGACAAGCTCACCGCGGCCCGCCCACGAAGCCTCATGAAGCGTTTCGGACAAGCGATACCGGAACTCATGGCACATTTTCACCAGAATTTTTGAAAGAAAAGTCACTTACAAACCTCTCATTGTGTTCACTGAGACGGTTAAGCTTTCAGAAACCTTTAAAAAATGCCTTACCCCCCAACGAAGGAAAAAAATGAAAGAAATTACATATATGTATTTATAAGAATATATATCTATATGTGTGTGTGTATGTACGTACGCGTATGTGTATATGTATCTGTAAACCAAATAGCTATTTTCGATTTCCAAGTTCCTTCTAGTTTTGATCGACTGCCACCGAGAAAATGCATTCACGGTATTATGGTTTTGTTCAATGTATCCACCCATAGATGGCTCCACATGCATTCAGCCACCAAGGAGTTAATAAGTAGGCTGCGTGACCTCACCTGATTTTCCCCTTCCTTGTTTTTTTCTATTGCTATTAATAACGATGATGTTATTATTATTATATTATACTTATTGCCATGTTATAAGCAATAGTAATAGCAATATGAAAGAAGATATTTCCGATATTCAAGGAAAATGGTGAGATAAGTCATACTAGTAATTGATTCATTGGTAATTGAATACTTGTGGGGCCATTTAGATGTAAATACAATTAATGAAACGTAAAAACAATAACGAACAGGGCGAAGAGCAGAGCGAGTATGTCTCTTTAGCAGAAAGTCTTAGAGCAGAGGCCACAGAGCCAGACAAACGTAAACAAAGGAAATGAACCGGAGATAAAATCAGCAGATAAAAACATCGACATATCACCTGACTTGCGCTCCGTTCCTCTCCCCTCCCCCGCATCCTCCAGAAATTTCCAGGTTCTAGACTTTCACATGTTGCGCCACGTTCGACCCCCGACGGCCTGCCCGCGCTCTCGAACAGGCTCCGGTGGGCTCGGGAGATCCTCGGGGGCGACCGAAAGGACTTTCACTCGCGTCAAAATCGGTAGCCTTGGTTGACCTGCTTCTCGGCTGCTGCTTGGCTTTCCCTTGGGTAGGCGCGCCCTTCCTCTTTCCTTCTCGAAAGTGGGGGGGGGGGGGCTGCGAGGGAGGGAGGGAGGGAGGAGTCGAGGGAGGGGAGGGAGGGAGATGCATATGGTAGATAGGGACAGAGGGCTAGGAAGAGTGAGAGAGAGAGTGAGAGAATGAGAGAGAGAGATAGTGTAAGAGAGGGAGAGATAGCGAGAGAGAGAGATATAGTAAGAATGCGAGAGAGAGAGAGAGAGAGAAAGAGAAAGAGAATGAGAAATAGATAGATAGGGAGAGAAAGAGAGAGAGAGAAACAATTTGAAATGAAAACAAAATGTACTCTCTAATGGCAAGCGGGTATGCCTTTCCACAGTATGCATTTCCGCCGTCGTCACAGTCTGACACGGGGCTTTCCTGTAGCCTCATGACTAATTTCTATGACGAATTCATGTATAAGAAGCCTGCCTGTTACGCGATGCATCACAACAGCCCCAACCTACGTTATGTATACTTTTTCGAGTAGAATGTACGAACAATTCAGATCGCTAAGCACTTTCCTTCGAAATATCGGCATTGGTTCACAAATGACAGAAGATTTAAGGGTCTTCATTGTTTATTGTCTTTTTTCCCTCCCACAATGCACGTGTTGCAACAGATCGCACGGTTGCCATAATTGTTAACACTTTCACTCCTTCGTATGGCTCTTACATCATCGTTTTTCCGGCGACAGGATGCTTGAGGACCCGCTACCCGGACCTGGCGCCGCGGGTGAAAGGCGAAAGCCCCTTGCGGCGGATCCTGTTGCAAGGCGATCACGCAAATGCAGACACACGCACGTATTTTGTACACGCGTGTGAGCGTAGAAGTAAAGACACGCGCGCATAATGATGATGATGATAATCGCGATGATGATGATAGCAATAATGATAATAATAAAAATGATATAGATAATAATGATATTGATGATGATAGTGTTAATGAAAATAATAGTGATAATGATGATGATAGTGATGATAATGATAATGGTAATGTTGATGATAGTAATCTTAATAATAATGATGATAACAATATTGATAATTAGTAATAGTAATGATAAAAGTGATAATAATGATGATGAAGGTGATAATTATAATGATAATTATGATGATAATAATAGTAATAGTAATGATAATAACACATGCACATTCTTTATATTTGTATATATAAGATACATATGCACATGAACACATATGCACGCACACACACACGCACACACACACACACGCACGCACGCACGCACGCACGCACACGCACACACACACACACACACACACACACACACACCACACACACACACACACACATACACACACACATACACACACACACACACACACACACACACACACACACACACACACACACACAACACACACACACACACACACACACGCACACACACGCACACACACACACACACACACACAC